GAGTTTGCATGGTCTTCCCAGGTTCACGTGGGTTTCATCTGGGGCGCTCCGGTTTCCTCCCACAGCACTAAGGCATACTGGAAGTTTCAATGACTTCTGGGATTACTGGTCCTGGTGAGTGCGTGCCTGTCTGGTTTTGTGTCTGTTGGTGTCCTGCGATGGGCTGGTGCCCTGTCCAGGGTGGACGTGCCGTGCTCTCCTTCCTTGCTGGGATAGGCTCCGGCAGGTCCCCCGCAACCGGGTACTGGATGAACTGGGTAGAAAATGGATGGACAGGAGTGATTCCTGAAACTGAGCTGATGCCAGTGTTCAGTAAATCTACTAAAACATTGAAAATGCAACAAATGCGTATTGGAACAAATCGCGTTCATTGCATTATTAATGCCTTTCATGTATAAATTGGGGTGTGGTAGGTATATCCAGAGGATATTTTATGGATTGAGAATATTTCAGAATCACAGAATGCTAATAAATGAAACATATTCCAGGATGTAAGCCTATATGGGTTTCTAATTCATAAAAAGTGTCCCAGGATTTTTTAAATCCCCAAAATTGTAGATGTAGACAGAAAGGTCATTATTATTATTTTTTAAAGAATTTGAAGATGCTGAAAACCTGCTGGCTGCCAATCGGGATGCAACCACCATCAGCATTGGGGATCCGAACGACAAGCCGAGCAACCAGCGGAGAAGTGCAGGGAAGACCCCCAGACAGGAGGAGGATCTCCTAGGGAATGAAGACTCGGATAAAACGGAGGCAAGGAAACTGGGAATTTGGGGAAAACCAGCGCACTTTCTTCCAAGAGAGGATCCGAGTATTCTTGTGCGCTTTTTGAGGAAGTAGGGGTTTAATGCAACATCATGCAAATGAACAGAACGTTATATTTGTCAGTTGTTTTGGAAATCAGGAAGAGCAAGTGTATTTGCTGACCCTTTTCACTTGTGATCGCACCTAATGGGGAAAAAAAATAGAGCTAAACTCAAGCCAGTCTCAAGACAGGGCTTGGCAGAAAACCGTGCGTAACTTTTGTAGTTTTAGGATAATCTTTACCAGCAGACAGCAGTTTTTGCACCAGTACGTCTCCTCTCAGAGTTCTAAAACATCTTTGTTTTCTTACAGCTGCTCGCTGGTCAGAAGAAGAGTGCTCCCTTTTGGACGTTTGAATATTACCAAACATTTTTCGACGTGGACACAGATCAGGTGCCTATCTTTTTCATGCCATATAAAAGCAGTGACAGACAGATGTTTGCCTCTGTGCTTCTGCTGTAACCCCAGTTTTATCCCAGTGGTTTGGACCTTTGTCATGACTTCTTTTTGATCCATTGCTAACTTTTTCCTTCTTTTGTAGTGGCAGTTTTTTAGAGAATGTATTTGGATGTTTTTGTTATTCATTTCCTTTTCCGTCAGGTCCTGAATAGAATCAAAGGGTCCGTTTTGCCACTGCCTGGGAAAAACTTTGTCCGCCTCTACATCCGGAGCAACCCGGATCTCTACGGTGAGTAATGCACATGCAATGGGATCACATTTCCCTTCGAGCAGTTGTTAATTAACAGAAGGGGGTTTGGGTTAGTTCTTGTTAATGTTGTCCCCCGGGAAAAAAATGTGCACCTGCCATTTATCAGAGTATTAAAACCACCATGGTGGTCTTCACAACCTTTTGATGGAGAGCATGCCTTCTTTGCATTTTTCTACAAGCAGTCTGAAAAGGAGAAAGGTGAAATGATGAGTTACAGAAATTTGAAATGTTGTAATTAGCTTGAGTAGGAGCACCAGCCAGAAAGTTTTCCTGTGTGCGTTTCCAAAAGCACACCTTAAGCATTCTAACTTAACTTAATATCGTTTGCTTTCGAGACGGGCATGAAGGGCAATTGGAATCTGTTCCGTTTGTGTCGATGGCTTCAATAAAAGTGATGCTTTTTTTTTTAAGTCACCTGTATCACAGGTGAAAGGTAGAAGAAAGGATCCACAGCCCGAGGGACAATGGCTACTAGAATATTATTTTAAATGCGGAATAAAAAGAGTTTCTTTTCTATTAAAAAAAACACCTCTTTCCACAGCCTCTCCTTCACCTCCCCACACATTCTCAACCTATGCCCAATCCTTTCTAGTGAGTGGTACCTATGCACAGCTTCGTTATGGTCCCATGCCCATTGTCTTCAGATACTCCTGATTTTCTCCTGTGACCCATGCTTTACTTATACGTGTGCATTATAATCGTGTAGCTGTGCTACAGCTATATAAATAATTACCAAGGCGATTTCCATTGCATTCATATACATATGGGACATCTGTGTAAACACAAACTCATTTCTGGGATTTCCACGGGCCTTGTTGTAGACGCCTGCTACAGCATTGTTAATGAAGCCCTGTCTAATTACAGGACCCTTCTGGATTTGTGCCACCCTGGTGTTTGCCATCGCCATTAGTGGAAACATCTCCAGTTTCCTTGTGCGTCACGGCGACCCTCATCATCACTATGTGCCTGAATTTAGGAAAGGTCAGTCAGCCTTTTGTCCTTGACGCCCAGCCGACAGCTGCCAAACAGTTTGTTTCTCCTGCAGAATCTGAAATGTCCCCGTGCAGCATTGACACAACGGCTATGCTTTCCAGATGTTAAACGCCCATTGAAATATATCCATCCGCATCCCAGATGAAAGATTTGGTTGAAGATGCATGGGCCTTATTTGTTTTGCATGAAGACAATTAAGACTGCCATTCTGTTGGAGTTAGCCGATTCTTCTTGGGGAAATAAAGCCACCTGCTGACCAATATCTGCACTCCTGGGTAGGACTCATAATTTCCTGCCGAGTAGGACAGTTAGGTCAACTGGAGTCCAAAGCAGAAAGGCTCCTGACCCCAGTTCTGTTACAGACTCCCAGTCGAAAACATTTTCTAAATTGAATAATTATCGTTTACTAAAAACCTTTTCATGCATGCTTAGTAATAGTATGTTCGCCCATTTGGGAAAATCAGTTTTTTTTCCAGAAGTCGGCTCTGGTACAGAGCGTCATCACTTGTTGTGTGCTGGCTGCAGTGCGCTGGTCTGATGTTTACTGCTTTCACAGTGACCATTGCGGCCACGGCCATCTACAGCTACGCCTGGCTGGTGCCTCTCGGTCTCTGGGGCTTTCTGATGTGGAGGAACAGCAAAGTGATGAGCATAGTGTCGTATTCCTTTCTGGAGATCGTCTGCGTCTACGGCTACTCTCTGTTCATATACATCCCCGCAGCGGTGAGAACATCCTGTCCGTTTCATAGCATTACTCTGCTTTTCTGCGGAACACTTCCAATTGTTACCGCACTTCAGCATTACTTCCAGAATTGAGATGATTTTTTTTTAATACAATGTAAACATTACATCTAGTTCGTGACAAAATCTTAAACCTAACAGCAATTAATAGACTTTTGAAGTAGCTTGCTTCTTATTTGGTTAAGGAATATCTAATATCATAACTTGACAGTTATAAATACACTGTTAATATTGCTGTTGTTTGCGAGATTTACTGACTCATTTCCTCGCCTTTCATTGTGATGTCTCCTGCTAGGTCTTGTGGGTAATTCCCAACGAGACGGTGCGATGGGTGTCCATC